TATATACCACTTTTCAGTACTGGAAGTGAATCTTAAAGTACATTTTTAATAATGACATTAATGTTTGAAAGCCATATTTAATTTAAATTCGGTAATTGTTGAATTTAGCTCCCGACGAATGATTTTGTCAGGTTCGGTTGTGTAAAAACGCGTCGAATAAAATTAATTTTATCAATACGTAAAGGAGCTAAATTCAACAATTTCTCGAGAAGTAACGATTCGTTACTTTTTCAAGTAATGGTAATATGTAACTTTTTAAAATGAATAACTAAAGACGGTAACAAGTTACTTTTTTTAACAAAAAGTAACTACTGTAACGGTAACTCGTTATTTTTTTAAGGTAACGTTCCCAACTCTGCTCACTAGTTAATTCGCATTATTATCTTCCGATAGAGAAGAGAACTGCAGGCGATACGTATCCTCATGCCAACGTGTAACGATTGCATGACAGAATGGTGTAACAACAAAATGGCGATTACGTTGGTAATGACCAGGAAGGCGATATAGATCATCACCTCGTTCGTTGAGATTTTATGTTTCGCGTTAGGATAATTAATGAAGTATTTGATGATCCAACTTTGCAAGATCGGTACTACGCTACACTAAAAGGGAAAAGTTGAAATTTAACTCTCTCCACTTCCTCCAAATAAATTTATAAATCTAAAATAAATCTGAGAAGAGCGAGCAAAAGAGAGAGAGAGAGAGAAATTTCAGATTAATTCAGATCAATTTTTTTCTTTTTTCTCATATCATAAGGAAAGGTGTAACTTGCTGTACAGCACGTGTGAACATTCAGTTACAATTTAACTCTGACAAAACACTTTATATTTAATATTTCTATATCAGAAAAAGATAAAATTAAAATAATTTACACTTATTTTTCTGTAATAATATTTTGCTATTTCATTACAAAATAACTTTTAAAGATACAATTTTTACTAAGAAGTACGTATCTACTATCTTATTTTTATTTCTATTACGTTTTTGTTAATTTAATATAGGGGCAATTCACATTGTGATAAGCACCAATTTACTCCATATATCGGGGAAATTAACTACAATCCAGCATCTCCACATTTCATTTATTGCAAAGAAACTAACTACACAATGTATAGAATCATTAATCGTATAAAAATGTAAAGAAAGATTATCTCTATCATATAGATATATTTTAATCATAATAATTCATTTTGTTTAAAAAATCTAATGTCGAAGTTGTAAAAACTGTGTCAACGAATCCCGATCTTTACTACAATTATTCTTATAATAATATAATTTATTAGTGTAAACATAAAACGTGATAAATTTTTTATTTTTGTTCTTAATACAGTAAAATTCAGAAAAGGGATAATGAGAGAACGCAGATGTAAGAGCGAATATTTAGGAGATGCAGATCAGATGTTACGAAACGTTCGACAAAATAAATGAAGATAGTTATTAACATCAGATTATCATCTACATCTCCTAAATCTTCGCTTGGAGTCATTCTCAGCGAATATAACAGCAAAAAATATTTCATTGAGAGCAAGTCATTTGCAAAT